AGCCAAGTATACTATTTTAAGGGAATGCGATTTTCGAAATAACGCCCATGTGTGCTATTCCGCGGTAATACGGTAAATTCCAAGTCAATTATATTAAAGTATTTAGCTATTAAATACTTCAAATTGGCTCTAGATTCAAACTAAGTCTTTGAATTTAGCTATATTTTTTGGCTCAATTCCAGATTAAACCAAGCTTTTTAATTCTAATTAAAATACTAGATTACTGTTTTACAATTGGGATTACTATAGTAACTACTATTGTCAAAATTTGTAATATCTCTACCCTGAATAAAACTAATGAATGTAATATAAATGCATATCTAATTTAAAAACTCTATATCTATAATTTTAATTTCATCTTAACTGCTATATCTAATTTAAAAAATCTTTTTCTTAAAATTTATAAATTTAATTCTAACCCAACTATGCATGGTTTACAAAAAAAAAAAATAAATAAAAGAATCTTATTGATTATTGTAATAATAATGAGCATTTTTATTATATTAAAAATCCTTTAAGTTGTATTGAAAATTCAATTAACAATTACTATACAGTATGTACAAAAAATAAAATAACAGTTCTGTTTAAAAAAATTTTTTTGAACAAATTTTTAATACTGGTTTTGATCAATTATTTTAGAAAATTGATTATAACTTATTCTTAAAAGTTTATTTAATGCTCTTACATATAAGAATTATTTTATTGCACCACAATCACAATTGTGTATAATGCAGTAAAATATTTCTATTAAGTTCTAACCCAGCTTTTAAAATAATCAATTAAAATTTAACTTCAAAGGATTTTTGATGTAATAGAAATGCTTATCTTTATCACAATCACAATTGATCATGGAGTAATAATTATCACTCAAGTAATCAATGAGATTTAGAATTTTGCAAATTGCAATAATCTATTTATTTATAGAGAAAACTGACATTCTAATAACTTTGTTTTTTAATAATGTCTATTCAAGCACAAGAGACTTAAATGAAGTCAACAAAACTTATTTAATTCTTATCCATTGAGGTCTATTCAGAGCAGGTGTTATTTTGAAATTATATATACTATTTTTAAAGAACAATTTTTAAATAATATTATATCTATTATTTTATAACAATAAGGCAAATGTCTACTATTTTAATAGCATATAGCTTATTTTTAATTAATAGAAACCAATTCCAGACCTTTTTTACTAATAAAACTCTTTCTCTAAACACTTGCTTTCTAGCAAAAAATTTTCTGAAGCCTTTTTACTGAAAAATATTTCTCTAAAAGGATGTTTCTCCAAAAAGGCATTTTCTCAAAAAGATATTTCTCAAAAAGAATTTTCCAACAAGATGTCTTCTTGATTGAATACCAGGCTAATAAATATCATATCAGTAAAATAGATATTTATCTTTTTAATTTTCAATGAAATAAAAATTGCAAATAAATGACTTATCAATAAAACTTATTATCAATTTGGTAAAATGAGATTATGTCTTGTTAGTAAAATAGGATGATTTTGATAAAATAGTATTTCAGTAAAATTGATTTCTGGAAGTTAACCCATAACTGGGTTAACCTGTCAAATCTGTCATATCTGACATTTCATAAATAAGTAAAATAAGAGTCACCACATTATTCTTCCTGTCCCACCATTCTTGTCAAAAAAGTTGTTACTCATCATAAGAAAAAGAAAGTAAAGGAACCAATTTTTATTATTTATCTTTACATACCTATTGCTTATTGATAATCCCTGTAATCCATTGTCATCATCAATCAAATTTGTTAATTACGTAGCCGAAAAGACTAGAATAATAGACTTTCTTGTCACATGCATTCTATAAATAATTTTGAAACCCGTACAAATAATTCTATATTTAAATTGTCGGGTTTTCTTTTGACGGCACTCATATATATATGGTGCAAAAAGAGGGTAAATCGACAAAATTTTCAAACTAGTTTTTTTTTGTAAAACTAATTTAAAATAAGATTAGAGTCATTTTGCACTTAAAAACCAAAAGCAGCTATTTTAATAAATTTTGTATTTTCCTATGATTTATTATAAAATTTATAACATAAAAATTGATTTTCCGAAGATCTCCTTTTTGCAGCACAAAGCCTATATACATTAAGACAACAATTAATGATGAAGTGCTATTGTTTACACATATCTATAGGAATATAAATGCCGAAAGAATAAGGCCTTGTTAACAGAAACCTGAGTTTGTAGCATGTTCAAATTTTGAAATATGACTTCACATGATGTAATCGAGCAATTGAGCCTTTTTTTGTTTTTCCTAAATGGAAATAATTAGACTTAAATACTTAATGTACTAAAAATAGATTTATTATTTAAATTATTGAAAATCAAACCATCTTCATTTTATAAATTATGAATAAACAAAAAATTCGACTTGATCTGGTAAATTATGTTTGGGAGGATGCTACATTTAAAGCAAGATTATATAATGATTTGGGAAAAAGTCTCTAAAAGAATAGCGCGATGACCAGTCGAGATTCATCAAAGAAAATACGATCTTAACTCCTGCAGAAACACAATACCTTCTTAATAAAATAACTAAGACTAGAGAAGCTGTTGATGCGAAAAATAAGTTTAGTGAAATACTCATGTGTCCTGTCTGCAACTTAACAAAATATTCAAAAATCTATTGTGAACATTGTATGCGCTCAAAATTGAAAATTGATAATTGGTCGTCTGGAAACAATAAACTTGATATCTTTCTTCGAAAATGTCAAGATGAGAGTCCTATACCAGATTGCATCGTTGAGTGGATAGAATTTCGTAACTTAATGAACGTCAAGTTTTTAGCTGAAGGTGGATTTGGAAAAGTGTATAGTTCTATGTGGACACCTGGTAAGATCACTGGTTGGAATGAGATGAAGAATACTTTTGTGCGAAAGTCCAAAAAGGTGGCACTTAAAGTCTTTAATGGTGATGGCCTCCCTGGAGATGAACTTTTTCGAGAAGTAAGTTATTCATTTTTCAGATACTGTATACTGTCGTTACTTAATTCCAAGAATTTTATTCTAATTAATAGGCACATTGGAATCAAATATTCACAAGAAAACGAAATTTTAGACCTTGTGTTGTTAATATACTAGGTTTCACTAAGAATCAAGAAGGAAAATATATGATTGTCTTAGATTTGTGTGAAGGAGGCGATTTACGAAATTATCTCCAAAAACACTATAAAACTATGAATTGGAAAGATAAAGTAAAAGTTGCTTGGGATATTGCATTTGATATACAGGAAATTATTGAATATAGATCGGTTCACGGCGATTTACATCCTGGAAACATACTTTTATTAAATAGTTACATGCATAATGACTGGTTTATTTCTGATCTTGGAACATGCGGGATAGTCAATATGCCAGAGGAGCAAAAAGGTGAAATAATGGGTGTATTGCCCTATATGGCTCCTGAACTCCTTTGTGGTGGCCGTAAAACACAAGAATCTGATATTTATTCTTTTGGAATTATAATGTGGACAATAAGCGCCGGATGCGTTCCGTTTAATGATAGATATGGTAATCCATATTTGGCTAACGATATTATATGTGGTCTTCGACCTTCTATAATCCCTGGAACACCAAAGAAATATGCAGATTTGATGTGCAAAAGTTGGGCTAAGGATCCCCATGATCGCATTTCTGCAAAAGATGCTGTCCAAATCCTCCGAGTATTACTGAGAGATATGATGGAAAATAATTTCATCGATGAATATTCGACTGAAAAAAATTCATCATGGAATCCACCGAAATTTGACTTTTCAGTTTTTCGAACCAGTGAACGATTGATTATTTCAAATTTGGCTAACAGTAGGGATAATCCACATTCGAATTCGAATAAATTGATATTGTATCCAAAAATACATGATACATGAACCTGATTAAACTATAGCATATATTTTAGAGTAAGTTGGATCAATTAGGTCAAAGTACTATTTTCGCAATGTTGTCGTAATTTCATTTTTAAAATTTTAGAATAATTTTATCATTTTGCACAGCCTAACATCATCGAATATCTTTTATATTGTCAGTCGATTTGAAAAATTTTCATTAACTTGAACATTACTGAACTAGCCCGTTTGGAATACTACATTAACATTAGCAAACGCATCAGATTGGTCTAAAGTAAGTTTGAATATCAAGTTCTTACATTATTAAAAATAAGGGAATATGTTTATGGCGCTATGGCACCACGGTGCCATGGTATAAATTGACTAATCAAATTTCAAATATATATACTGTATATATATTAGAATAAATACTTTAAAATTTATATCTTTTAAAATAAAGAAAGAATATATTTATAACGCCATTTATATTACATATAAATTCAGAACATTATTTTATAAATTGATCATTATCATGTTATTACAATTTCTTAATTAGACACAACGGAAGATTTTCTAATAATTAAAAAGCAAAATTAAGATAATACTATCTAGTTTCACTTGAATAATCAAGTCAATATTATAATTCAAATCGTTCTTGCAAATTTTATGGCTATGATAAATGGGCTAAAAAGGATAAATATGCGGCATTCATTCTTATCAAGAATCTGCAGAGATGTGTTACATTAATAGGTCGAATACTGTTATCGGAATGAAATTGATGTGAAAAGGATGATCGTAATGTATTAATTTCTTTCGAAAATCTGAGAGATGGGTGACGTTGATAGAACATTCCAGGTTGGATATTGTTATCAGAATGGAATTGGTATTGAAAAGGATACATAAGTTCACTTATCAAAATCTGCAGAAATGGATGATGCTATTGGATATTCCAAGTTAGTTTTTGTTATCGAAGTGTAATTGGAGTTGAAAAGGATGAAATAAGACATTCGTTCATTATCAAGAAAACACCGGATGTGGGATACGATAGAGGAACAAATAGCATTGGATACTGCTAACAGCATTGCATTGAAGTGAAAATGACGAACATATGACATTCATTTATTATCAGAAATCAGCAAAGATCGGGGACATCTGTAAAACACATGAAGTCGAGAATTTCTTGATAAAATCGTTAAAGAAATGTGTAAACTGTTTAATGAAGATTCAAAGGCAAAAATTTCCATTCAATTTTAAACAATTAGAACAAATTCTAGAATAAGAAATTGAATCTAGATAATATCAATTTTACTTACATATCAAATTCCTTATGATTCGAATTGCTCTTGTAAGTTGTTATCGTTATGATAAAAGGTTAAAAGGATTAACATATAGGCATTTGTTTATTACTAGCAGAAATTGGGAATGCTAGGGAATCTTTGCACTTGAACGGTTATCTTAATGAGATTGGAGATGAAAGGATGAAAATAAGGTATTCACTCATTATTTACAATTACCAGTGGTTAGATACGCTAAGAAACAACATTGGATATTACTATCAACATAGAATTAGAGTGAAAGAGGTTAACATAGGGCATTCACTTATTATCAGAAATCAGTAAAGATTAGAGACGTCTGTGGAACACAAAGTTGGGATTTTCTTAATAAAATTGTTAAAGGAATTGGAATCTGTATAATTAATGATGATTCAGGGGCAAAAGTCTACATCAATTCTAACATGTAAGAAACCGAATCCAGGTTTCCTCCGAAAATAAGCACAATTTTTATAGCCAAATTCTCGTGATCTAGTGATTGGATCTGTATAAATTTGGTACCATTCGAATCGACTTGTCAAAATGATTCAAATGGTATCAAAATTATACAGATCCAGTCATTATATCACGGGAATTTTGGCTATAAAAATTGTGCTTATTTTCGGAGGAATACGGTATTTACTTACATAATCAAATCAGTCATATGGATCAAATTGTTCTTGCAAGTTGTTACGTTATAGTAAATGTGTTGAAAAGAACGAACACTCTAATGAATAGAAAACTGGCCGGTGCTTTTTGCTTCCTGCTTTAAATCGGACTAACCATAACCGTTGGAAAAATGTATATATTAGTAAATATTCATGAATTTAAAATGTAAGTTTAAAAAAGATTCATGAGCACCTTAATATAACGAAAGACGAAAGCCCAAAAAGGATGAAAGATGAAATCCCTGGAGAAATGACAAAATCCTGGTAAAATGACGAAACTCTGATGAAATGACAAAACAGCGAACCTCTGACAAAACTGTAGAACTAAGTTATAGTATAAACGAACATGAAAATCCAAGTACTACTTACACGTAATTGCAATGTTATCATCACGCAGAGTGATGATTGTCGATTGTTTCACATGACTACAGCACCACGGTGCTATAAGAATAAATATAAATTTTTTCTCTTTAGATTTTATTAATATCACACACATCCTCATCAGAATATAAAAATTATCTTACGAGAATGATAAGTAATAATAATATGAGAGCAGACCGGTCTATTAGAATAGTGACGATATGAGTTAGTAAATGTCTATAAAATAATATAATAATAATTGAAAGTATAAATAACCCCCTTTTTAGTCACATTCTTATTAGTATGTTAGATGAAATTAATGGAATAATAGTTAGCCAACGAATTGCATTACATTAATGTAGGCTAGGTCAGATACCAAGTCCAACGCCCTTTAAACAACCCAACAAGATGGCTCATAGCCAGGTAACTCAGAACATGTGACACAGAATATGTGTCTAAATAATCTATACCTTTAATATTATGCAAAGCTTGCCACACAGACTCATTACTATAGGCGCTAATTTAACCGATGCACAATAGTCTAACTAGAGCATGAACCTGAAATATATGTAAGGTGACTAGCGCTATAATGAAATTACTATCCATACTTCGAATTGTTATTTGCATCTCAAACAGACCGAACTTGGTAGCATGAAATGTAATATTGGGAAAGGGTATTAATAGTAATCACCTATTATAATTATCAACTTGTTTGTCTATTTGTGAGTTGTTAAAACTTCATAACTTGTACTGTTGAATTGTTCGTTAAATTATCCCATAGTCTGATTTTTGGCCGAAGAGACAAAGGCAATATAATTAGAAAATTCTAGACAATAGACTTATTTCATCCGCACTAATTCCATGCTGATTTCAGTTATTTTTGCATTGACCGACAAATATCAGCAGCCATTCTTCGTTATTTGTCTCTTAAGTCCATATTTAAGCTTTCCACTTCGATAAGTTTTGACTTGAAAATCATTAGAAGATGCTTAATTCCAATTCTATAGTACTCCAATAATTTTTTCATTTATTTAACATAACTTACTGTTAATTATTTTCTGATCAGCTATGCCAAACAAAATTGAAACCAAGTAAAAATTTCAATATAATCCAAATCAAGTAAAATTTCAATCATCAGCGTTGGTAACTATGTTTGACTTGGCGTTGAGAAAGTGGTGACTACTATATTTAGAGAAATTATATCTAACTAATCTAAACATTAAACTATCCTCCAAGACTCTTAAACCTTGAGGTGGAAAGGCAGAAAAAGGCGTGGTGAGACTTGGTCCGAGGTTCAAGGCTTTCGGGTCTTGTTGCGGCGTATCTGGCGTTCAAGATAAGTATAATCGAGTTTTTTTATTTGTGTTTAGTTGGGTTTAGATTCAAATAAGTTGTCTAAAGAAGATTCTTCTTCTATATTTTCTCGTCAGTATTTGGCAATAATCGTTAAGTCCCTTTAACGATTATCACGTGGTCACGTGTTAGCGAAATTTGATCTTCGATTGTTTGACGTAATGGGAAAATAATGGTATAAGTGACGAAACTGATTTAAAGTTTAATTGGATTTTGTATTTAAGGGGTCTGATTACTAATAAATGTTTGTCTCTTTTACTCTTACAACTTTAAGAGAAGTGGATTTTACAGGTATCACGGGGACAAGAATATACAATATGACGGTCTTTTATTATGAACGATTTGTTGTTTTATTTTTGGGGAAATATTATTTAGAGGACAACTTCTACTATTTATTTCTTCGAAATTAAGAACTCTTACGAGTTGATTTTATTCAAGCAAAAAGATAGGTCTTTAAATACTTTTTGACCTTTACTGCGTACATAGGCTATGTTCACTAATGTAACTACTTTTTCTATACTAATTCCTTTAGCTTTGTAGCGGCTAAATTACATGATAGTGGATAGGATACGAATTTGTATCTACTTAGACTTTGGATACAAATTCTTATCTGCTTAGACTTTGGATACTATATAGTTATTGCATACTTCGTATGCAATAACTGCTGTATTTTATGGACGATGATGATTGGTTGGTAACCCAGCCGGTACGGCTGGTTTACCGAACGATCGGAAGAGAACATAAAATACAGCAGTTAGTGCATACGGAGCATGCAATAACGGTTTTATTTTATGCTTTACTATCTCAGATTTATGAAATAGTTCAATTATTTTATCATTTAAAAATACCATAAAATAATTGATTTATTTTATAAACTGATCATAGTGAAGTATTAAATAAAAATTCATATCTGCTTAGACCTTGGATACAAATTCGTATCTAGGTATGATATTTTTCTATATTTAGCATTATTATTCTTCAAAATATTTCCAACTATACTAATAAACAAAAAATAATATGCATATATTTTATAATAATAATAATAATAAAAAGAAATAATTGTGATTTTCCGAGCCCTTCACAGTGTACGTATTTAGTTAATATTTTCCATATCAACCGTTTTTTTTTTTTTTTCGTAAATGAATGCTTTGAATCCACTCTTCTCAACTTTAATTCTAATTCCACAGAGTTTGAACTTGACCAGATATTTTGCAGAGTTTTTAAATATTTCTGTAAATAGAAATAAAACATTAGATTAGTTAGATACAACTAAAAACCTCTAAGCTGAATATATAAAGTACATTATAAAAAATACAATTTTGAAATGCTTGAAATATTATTAATACCTATTTTT